ATTCAGGTTTAAGTCCCCACCAGGATATATAAACCTGTACACACACACACACACACACATATATATGTATATGGATAGATAAATAGATCGATATGTCAACATATTCACAAAAGTTGAATTTAAAAAAAACTGACTGTGGCAAAGAACTGTGGCAACTTCTCCAAGCGACTGTTTTAGGCACTTGTGTAAAAATGCTGTAAAGTGAGGATGTTTTAAAAAATAATGTCATAGATAGGTTTTATTTAGCAATTTACTTCTATTAAAGGGGTCATCGGATGCCCATTTTCCACAGTTTGATATGATTATTTAGGGTCATAATGAAAAGTCTATAACATACTTTGGTTAAAAGTTCTCAATGGTAGTGTAAAACAACACCCTTTTTACCCTTTTTTCAGAGCAAGCTGTTTTGTTGCATGCTGCTTTAAATGCAAATGAGCTCTGCTGACCCCGCTCCTCTCTTCCGAGCCGCTCTCCGAGAGACGGTAAACCTTAGTTTTCATTCATCGTGAAACTTGCTAACTAGCACATTATTAGGAAAGGCGATTTGCCAAGATTCATTAAAAAAAAAACGGAACACTCCTTCTGGAGGTGAAGCTGGATCACAAATGATTCGCGCGAAGATAAGACACATTTATGTAGATCGGGGTCTATCCACTACCAGTCAAAAGTAAGACAGTACAGATAATTCTATACTGTAACAGTAAGATTTTTAATGTTTTTAAAGAAGTCTCTTCAAGATTCATAAAAAAAAAAACTTATACTCCTTCTGGAGGTGAAGCTGGATCACAAATGATTCGCGCGAAGATAGACACATTTATGTAGATCGGGGTCTATCCACTACCAGTCAAAAGTAAGACAGTACAGATAATTCTATACTGTAACAGTAAGATTTTTAATGTTTTTAAAGAAGTCTCTTCTGCTCACCAAGCCTGCATTTATTTGATCCAAAGTACAGCAAAAATAGTAAAATGTAGAAATATTTTTACTATTTAAAATAACTGTATTCTATTTGAATATATTTGAAAAAGGAATTTATTCCTGTTATTTCAAAGCTGATTTTTTTGGGATCATTATTCCAGTCACGTGATCCTTCAGAAATCAATTCTAATATTCTGATTTGCTGCTCAAAAAAATTATTATTATTATTATGATGTTGAAAACAGCTGAGTAGAATTTTTGTGTGTGTGTGTGTTAATTACCCACTAACAGGTTTGTGGGTAATTTTTGTAACTGACACAAGAGGAAATTAACACTTCTTATCTAGACCCTTTTATTCCCTTATTTAGACCTTTGGGTATCTTGTGAGTATTGTTCTCTTTCTTTCTTCTTTCTTCCCATAACACTACATTAGGTTTAATGCCTCCTTATTCCACACAGAGTATTGCGTGCTGTCCTTGAAGGGAGGCTGCCGTAGTAAATTATGCATGAGTCTGCGCTTCCATTGGTGACATTGGCTGACAACTCTCAACCTCAATTTATTCTTCTGTCATCTCTCATATATAATCTACACTTCTCCATCTTCCCCGACTTCTGTGCCGTACCTCAAGCTTTAGCACATCGTGCTGCAATTTCCTCTGGAACTCCAGGAAACTGCCGATGGTGAGCTTGCCCTTCAGGTCGGCCCCGAAAAAGTAGGTGGTGAGGGCTGAACTGCAGCCTCCTGTTTTCAGAGTGTTTCCTGTGGTGGAGCGATCTCTGTGTCTCATGCCCATACTGGTCTGAGAGCGAATGATACTCTGAACCTGCAAAAACAGAAATAATAACTCATGTAAATATGCATTCGAGGGAGGAGGAATCTCCTTTTAACACAAGGCACAGTATCCACCTGGACGATGTGTTGACTGCCAGATCACACCGAATATCAGCGGAGAGAAAACAGAGAGCGATGCAGCCAATTCCAAAAGAGATGGAGAGGCAGGGGAAGAAGAAGGAGGAAGAGAAGAAGGACGAGGTGAATGAGGATAAAGAGAAGGAGGAGGAGGAAAAAGAAGAAAGAGGATGAGGAGGAGGAGGAGTGATAGGAGGAGGAAGATGAGAAGAAAGGGAGGAGGAAAAGGATGAGAAGAAGAGTCAGAAGGCTGAGGAAATGAAGGAGGAAGAGAAGAGGAGGAGGAGGAACAGCAGGAGAAGTAGGAATGAAGAATGAGGGTTAAAAGGAGGGGGACAGAGAAAAGAAGTTCCTCTCTTCTTCAGAAGCCTCATTCTTTCAATTATAAACTTATTATTGATCAATCACTGGAGAACACTGAACTTAAGCAGAACTCCACAGAAAAGAGAAGAGAGCTCTGGGAGGAATTCAAGGACTCTTTTCAGGCTGAAGGTGTGAATGTTAGCAGTGATGTACGTGCGGTTCTGGGACAAAAGCAACTAAAGATAACTATCAATAAATGACTGCGTAACTATATACTGCTGCGTAATCAATCATTCCAAGAGGGCTGAAATGCTGTTAAAGATTCAGCATTTTTAGACCGATATATTCCCTTAAAGGGGTCATATGATGCTGCTAAAAAGAACATTATTTTGTGTATTTGGTGTAATGAAATGTGTTTATGCGGTTTAAGTGAATGTTAGCAGTGATGTATGTGCGGTTCTGGGACAAAAGCAACTAAAGATAACTATCAATAAATGACTGCGTAACTATATACTGCTGCTAAAGATTCAGCATTTTTAGACCGATATATTCCCTTAATAGAGTCTAAGTGTAGCATTTTTAAAAGATTGATGTTATGAGAGGGAGTAAAATCTGTTTCCTAAAACAAATAGCTCTAACCTTAAATTCTTCAGTGGGATGATCTGTGATAAATAGGGATGTAACGATTCACTCAAGCCACGATTCGATTCACGATTTTTTTTTAGAAAATTCCACAAATAAAGAAATCTCTTCATATAAATAAAATAAAGCTTTGTCTGTGCTCTTTCCATTTAAAATTAGCGGCAACCACTGCATTTTAATCATGATCCAAACAAAGATGCTGCATACATGCAACATGAGCAGTTTTTAATCTAAATTAGACTGTATAATTTCGAAATTTGAAGCAAAAACAGAATGATTTGACTTCAGTTTTGTGAAACTATAGGCCTACATAAAAAATGTCTGCATGAAACCGAAACAGCAGACGAGCTGAACGAGACGCAGATTCACTCTCTGCCAGCAGGTGGCGCGTAAAGCGTTTCCTTGGTTTCCGCTGTAAACAAAGCAGTGCTGCACTTATGTACTTTTAATATGCATTATACAGAGGCAAGAGGAAAAGAAAAAATACCATCTAAACTTTTCTAATGACAGTAAGACTACCCCTAATTGAATCGCGATTTGTTTAGCATCTCAATCGATCTGAATCGTCACATATTTAAATTGATTTTCAACAGGCTCGCGGTTAATCGTTACATCCCTAGTGATAAACCCACGCCTGTGACCGCACATTCTATTAATACGCAACTTATTGGAAACCTTTAAGTAGCTTATATTTAGGCTTAATGAGCTCAATTGTTTAAATAATAAATTTTAATAAATGTAATTATATCAAACATCAGTCATCTATCAATTTGACATATTTCCAAGTGATATAAATGTAGGGTGGGATTTTATCCATCGGGAATTGATTAGATTGTGAAAAGTGATTGTTAAATAATCAATGAGAGAATGAAGAATTCATCACATAAAGGAAAGTCATTTTAGAGGCGGAACATGCATTTAAAAATTTTTTTTTTTGAATATGCACTAATCGTACATATTGCAAAAAGTCTGAACATACAATAACAAAGTAAATAGGTCAATTTGATTTCATGTTGACTTTAAACCGAAGGCGAAACCAAAGATTATGCCAATGACACTTAATAATGTGGTTTCAACAGAACTGGTACTTTTTTTTTTTTAAGTTTCCATTTCTAACTAAACTTCTTAAAAACCGGGCCGACAAACAGGCAAAATTCTATGCTCTGACCCTTTGCGTCAGTCGTGGTTTGAATGTCACCCTCTTGACTTGTCTACTGGAGGTCCATGTCCTCAGACAAGAGCATTAAATATATTCCCTTTGATGTGGCTACTATATTTGCATGGTTGTGCACATACTGTGTGTTTACCAACAGGCACTGCATATACCCAGAATGCTTTTGGAAAGTGAAAGACCTGATACTACCAGGTGAATGACTCGCATTGACTGCAAATGAAAGGCAAATGTAGCCTGAGGGGTAAAAGTAAGCCAAACAAACAAACAGCTGAAAACACACGTGTAACCAAAATACACAAACGGTCACTACAATGACAGAAAAAAAAGTGTGCAAAAACACCTTGGCCTACACTAAAGGTTGTACCTTTAGGTGCAGTAACAGCTTGTCTCTGGGGTAGTACACAATAAAAGGGACAACTTTGTACCCTTTATCTACCCCTAAATAGTATTAGTACCTTAGAATAGTAATATGTTCCCTCAGGGTACTACTATGAACCTTTTAGGAGTAATAAGGTACAAAAATGTCCCTTTGAGGATACTGCCTAAGTCACAAGCTGTTGTACCACCAGCCTCAAGGAACAATTTTTGCATTTTGTTTTCTGACAGTGTACTAATGGAATGTGTTCATCTGTACCTTTGAAGGTCTTTGTGTTCACCTACTTGCTCAAACTCCTCAAGGTCGACCTCTCCGTCTCCGTTCAAGTCAAACATCTTGAAGGCGATTTCAAAGTTCCTCTGAGGAGCTGCAAAGGGACGAAACAGAGTTTGCAACCCAAAGATATGACAGCATTTACTTTCACTAACACATATATGCAATTTCTGCATTTCTTAACAGTTTAAAAAATAATACACAATGTGACAAAAATTTGTTTTACTTACATTTTTTATGGTTCTTCTGTGATGCTAATTATTATTGTAATATTTATTTTCACGAAGCATCAGTGTTTTTTGGTAAATATTTAGGTACATTTTAGAACTTCTATCATTAATTATGAAACATTCATTTAGTACAGATACATTTTTTGTACTAATTGTGCATGTTTTTAAAAGATATTTAGCTTTTGCAAGGATGGGAACATTCTAGAAATTTCTGTAACATTCTGGAATATTCTAGCGCTTTCTGGAACTTAAACTGTTAAACTGTTGTTAATGATACACAAAAAATAATGTGATTTTCATATTCAGCATGTGAAATTTTATAAAGAAATGTAAAAAAAAAAAACCTTCTATAAAAATTTGTTTCACTGTTATCAGTCATTTCATTAAAACTTAGAAAAAAAAAAATTTCTACTCACATCAAATAAAGATTCAGTTATATCAGAGGCCTAATTAAAGCTCTTTACTTCTACATAAGGGTGGTCCACCGTCATGGTGGCAGCCATGTTGAAATCACATGACCCAATACTGCTCACTTTTTCCTTATAATCCTTATTATCTTATTACTTTCCTTATTATCATAAACTTCTAGTTGCGGAATAAACTACCAGGTGACAAAGCGCAAACATTTGCTTTTATGATGCTTCATCCACACCAGTAGGTGTCAGTATTAAGTCCAACAACACTGTCATAATAGCTAGCAAAACAAAAAGAGATTTAAAAGAAATACACGTTGGTGCTGATAGCCTAGTGGGCAGTGCGTCGACATATAACGCCATTGTGTTACGGGCGTCCAGAGTTCGAATCCCGGCGCGAGGACATTTCCCGATCCTACCCCCCTCTCTCTCTACCACTTCACTTCCTGTCTGCTCTCCACTCTCGTTTCATAATAAAGACAAAACACCAAAAAGAATCTTTAAAATAAATAAATGGGTCAGTGACAAAAAAGGGTTGGCAAGATGAGAAATTTAAAAAGCAATAAAAAAAAAAAAAGAAATTAAAAGAATGCATCAGGTAATTTAAAACGTACAGTGCATTTATGTTGATTTTATGTAATTAAAAATGACATTTGTACCCCTTTTTACAAAAGTTAAGACCGAATGTACCTGAAAATGTCAAATGGTGTAACTGCCAAAGAATGAGAAATATTAAATATTTTATCCACCTAGATGGCATGTAAGCGTACTCATAGAAATAAATACTTCATTTTAAAATATCAAACGAAAATAGATTTTATTAGAGTTATCTCTAAATGTAAATTTTAATGCATTTTTGCAATAATTGGCGGGACATATGCTGAAAACACCTCTGTTTTCTAAATAATCTTTGACAATTTATGTAAAAATTGTTAAAAACCAAGTTATTACACTAAACTAGATGATTACATTTTACTCCACATTAATTTTCCTGTATATAATTATATTTTTATGAAAAATATTGGTTACGCCAATTGACACAAATCAGTTACACCACCTGACCATGTTGCTTCTACAGCCAAAGGCCATTGTTTGTTGAAGAAATTGACACTGAAAATCAAGCATGACAGTCAACAAGTTCAGCTAAGTGTTTTTTTTCCAATACTGAAAAAAAAAAAACGGCAAAAAGAAATCATCATTATCACATAACAGTGAACTCATGTCTCGTATTGTAATTTTAATTTTCGTATTGTAATTTTGTATTGTATTGTGACATCTATTGGGGGAAAAAGAGGTTAAAAAATATCACCCATTCACTGCTATTATAAAGCTTGGAAAAGCCAGGATTTAAAAAAATATATATAACTCCGATTGTATTCGTCTGAAAGAAGAAAGTCATAAACACCTAGGATGGCTTGAGGGTGAGTAAATCATGGGGTAATTTTAATTTTTGGGTCAACTATCCCTTTAAAATTTTAAATGAATGGAATAGAAATATGCATTAAAGCTAAACATTTAAAAAACACTAATGTTGTGCAACATAATTATGTTATCCTAGACTTACAGAGCTTTAATAATAAAGTTGTAGATAAAGCACCACTTTCTCAAAATAATATATCATTCAACACTTGAAAATAGTTCCAAATAGTATGTTAGTTTATATTACATCTTTAATTAGCATCATAAACTAGTGATATTTTACTAAATTGGCCCCTAACAGAAAGGCCTGTAATAGGAGTCAAATGGTGTACCACTTGTTCCACCACTTGACATTTCAATTTAAAATCAAATTTGACAGGCATTATCATGGACACCTATGTAAGCACATGGCCTTGGTGGGAATATTTCAAATGTAATTTTTAAAGGTAATACTCATTTTTATAATAATGTTGAATTATCAATGTATTCCTGCAGTCATACCTTTTGACATGTATACCTAAGAATACCTGACCATACCCTAAAAATGTCAAATTATCTCACATTTTAAAGAGAGTTACTAAACTTTGCATGCAGCGGTTAGTGTCACCAGGGGTCCTTCTCTGTGATATAATTTCCTGTCACATGGTCTTCTTGGAAAATATGAACAAAACAGCTTTTTGAATGGTGGTTACACCCCCTTGACACTTCAGGAATTTGACTTGACTCACATAATTCTCCAAATTAATTATAATATTCAGAACAATGGTGCTCAATTTACTTTTATTTACTATTAAATGTAAGAGTATGCCAAACTAGTTAATATGGTGTTTTATTGAGAATTTCACCTTTTTTTAACAAGATCAATTATTTTGTACAAAGTTTTTACGGTTACACCACATTGACATTTTTGCAATCATCTCCCAAATATTCTCTCAAAATGAATTAAAACCAGAAATTTTAGACTCGGTCCTCAAAAAAGAGAATGTATGCAAGTAATTTGCAAATTAACCCTTTTAAATTTAATCAAGCCATATGGACACCAAAAAAGTAAGCGTCACGTCATTGACCTATATACACAAAATACATTCAAGACACTTACTGGAAAGGACAGTTGTGAGGAAGATGTAGTCAGAGAAAGAGATGAGTCCACACTCCCCCAGTGTGTAGAAAATGCTGTCCTCGTCGGCAAACTTCTCTCTGTCCTGAGAGATCTTCTACAGATGCCCACAGAGAAACAGAGGAGAGAGAGAGTCAGCAATGCTTCTGCTGAACACCATATGGAGCATCTGAGTCCTGTTTAAGAGCTGAGCTCCACAGAGTCTGTACAGAGCAGCAGAGATAAGGGAACTAGCATGCTAACACTGACACAGCACAGTAGAATCATGCAAGTGATGCAGAGTCATACAAGACACAAGCAAAAATAAAACATCAAGAAAAGGGTGTCAAAACAGACATATCAGAGATCAGCACATATGTTTCAAAACCAAGTGAGCTGCCAACCTTGACAGCATTTTGGAACATCAAGCATGTTCTGACAGTCAAATCAAGGCGGTAAAATCAAGTGGGTTGCTTAATTAACATCTTTGAGCAACAAATGTGTGGCCAAATGTTTAAATCAAGTGGGCTTCCTACCTAAACAGCACTTTTGGGCATCATAGATGTTTAAATCAAGATGGTGACTACCTCAACAACATTTTTTATACGAGTGTTCAAATGCTCAAATGAAGTGTGATTCCTACCTAAACAGCATATTTGGTCATAATAGATGCATTTGACCATTTAAATCACGGAGGTTGTCAACATGTGTGCAACATGCTTAACTGCAGTTCTTAACATCATAGGTGCACACCTAAATTGCATGTGATAAAGGTGCCTAATCTGATGATCAAGAATGCTGTCTAGGTAGGCAGCTTACTATGTTTTTGAGATATGTCTGTATTGAACAACATAGTAAGTGCTACAGTCACTGACTTCGCTTCACAAATCGCAAGATCACACTGTATTTGACATTTCTGAAGTAAACTGGTTCACATTTTATGAGCATGAACGAAGGTGACTCCACAGTGGTGTGAACACAGTTTTCTACCTGTTTTTGGCATAGAAAGACATAGAAAGAATCAGAATCCTCAAGTGTGGAAGTACACACATATATACACACACACAAATAGCATGCCAGAGCTCAGTTTCTGCCGATGTATCGTGTTACCTCTGTCTGGGGTGGATTCCATCAGTGAGTAAAGGGGAAGAAAGAATGGATTAAAACAACCTGACCATTGAGCAGACAATCAGGCCCAATCAGGTGTATAAACACACCATTGCAAACACCCAAATCCAGCCCTTTTCACGTCATGCTAACACACGAAAACACATTTATGCAACATCCCACACACACTTCCCACTGAACACACACTCCCTTTGTGACGACATGATACAAGCCGATAACACACGATACACGCCTCCATATTCACTTTAGCATCAAAATCAGATATTGAAAAATAATATTTCCCACTGAAAATCTCCTTAGCAATGCTTGCATTGCTACTGCTATTACCTCAGGTCTGAACAAACCTCTAACCCTAATTATTGCATATCTATGAAATACTAATTTCTGAACATCAGACTCCACATTCTGCAAATCAAATCTTTTTGAATAAGGTGAATAAGGGACAAGGTGAACACAGGTTATTTTTGTACCGCTCTGAGACTGGTCCGAATGGGAATAGACTTGTGCTGCAGGTGCTGACAAAAGCAAACTTGTGTATGTGTGTGTGTGAAGAGGAGCCGTGAGGGGCTAATATGCTCCGGGCTTATTGTGTCCCTGCTGTCACCTTCAGAGACACCCAAGAGACGCTCAGTCGTATCCAATGTTAATAGTAGGGATGTCAAACGCACCGGCACTTTAGTACTAAAAATGTAACTATAACAAGTGTGGTCACTTTATTTTAAGGTGTCCTTGTTACACGTTACATGTACTTACTATTACAATAACAATAAATTATGCATAATTACATTTACATTTAGTCATTTAGCAGATGCTTTTATCCAAAGCGACTTACAAATGATGACAATAGAAGCAATCAAAACCAACAAAAGAGCACTAATATGCAAGTGCTATAACAAGTCTCGGTTAGCCTAACGCAGTACATGTATATATATATACACACATTCATATACATATAACAAAAAGAAAACAAGTAGATAGAACAGAAAAGAATAGAGAAAGCTATGTTACAGGCCTTTTTTTTATTACATGCAAGTAGCACTAAGCATGCTATAACAAGTCTCGGTTAGCCTAACGCAGTACATGTATATATATATATACACACATTCATATACATATAACAAAAAGAAAACAAGTAGATAGAACAGAAAAGAATAGAGAAAGCTATGTTACAGGCCTTTTTTTTATTACATGCAAGTAGCACTAAGCCTAAACCTAATCCTAACCATATAGTACTAAGTACATGTAGTTAATTAATATTACTCAGTACTTAAATGTATAATTACACTGTAACAAGGACACCTTAAAATAAAGTGAAACCAGAAGTCTTTCTACAGCATCAGCAACAAACACCAGGTACCAAGCATTTTTTTCTCCATTTTTATATTTCTAACCATATATATATACTCTATCACTGCTAGAACACATTAGAAATTGTTGGCAGCTCGGTGTTTGATTTGATGAGCTCTCTAGTGTGTGCCATCACTGTAGATTTCGATGGAACCACTGTTTCATATTTTTAAGCTGTATGAAGTGCTCTGTCCATGTTTTCAGAGCTAATTCTTCACCCGTGAGACAGTGAATACAGATATCTGACAGCTAAAGGTCACTACAAGGTCTGCAGAAGCACTAAACTCAAACTAAACCCATAACTTGATAAGATTAGAATAGAACATTATGCTATTTTATATAAGAAATACTGGCAAACACACACAAGTTTCCATGTTTTATGGGGACATTCCATAGACGTAATGGTTTTTATACTGTACAAACTATATTTTCTATTGCCTTACCCTAAAGTAACCCCTCACACAAAACTTTCTGCTATTTTAGATTTTCAAAAGACTTCATTCTATATGATTCATAAGCTTGTATCCTCATGGGGACCAAGAAAATGTCAAAATTTACTGGTTTACTTGTGGGGACATTTGGCCCTCCTAATGTAGGGAATACCAGTTACACACACAAACAAGGGAGGAATTCACTACTGGTGAATTTTTTGCTCCACATTTCGAATAATTGAGTCTGTTTTCGAGGTGCAAAGTACATAATTTCTGCTGAGACAAGCAGCATTTGCTGTTACTCTAATTACAGAAAAAGTTGGTTAATGAAGGCAGGGCCAGTTGGAGGCCCTAGGCAAAATTTATGTTGGAGGCCCCCCACCCCCAATAAAAAGCACTTGAAACAAATATGCCTAACCTTTTTATTTATACAACATTCCATTTTAAAACTATTTTTACTAGTACCGGTTTGGACACATTACTATTTTTAATGTTTTTGAAAGAAGTCGCTTATGATCATCAAGTCTGCATTTAGCCTATTTGATCAGAAATACAGAAAGAACTATAATATTGTGAAACTTATTTAATTTTTTTAAATTTGAAATTTAAAAAAAAAATTAATAATGGTTTTCTATTTTTACCATGCTTCAAAATATCTATTTCTGTGAGCCATAACTGATTTTTTTTTTTTAGCAATTTAGCACATCCTTATGAATAAAAGTATTAATTTCTTTAAAAAAATAGTAATACTGACCCATTGAATTCCAAACTTTTGAACAGTATTGTTACAAAAGGTTTCTATTTTAAATAAATGCTGTTTTGTTTTTTGTTTTTTACTTTTTTTTCTCACAATATTACTGTTTTTTCTGTATTTTTGATTAAATAAATGTATAGCTTGATGAGCATAAGAGACTCTTCAAAAACATTAAAAACTGTAATGTGTCCAAACTTCTGACCGGTACTGTACGTATATTAATCAAACTTTATCTAAATCTCTTTTTTGTTTGTTGTTGATGATGGTATTATAGCCGTGATATTATTATTATTATTATGATGAATACCACTTCAGTAGGCTAAATGAACATCAGTGCTTTTAGCATTTTTTCCCGAGCTGGGTATGGGTGGGATTTCCCCCTCCAATTTAGCCAATATTAACTACAGATACTGTCATATTATTAATGTTATTAAATATGATACCATGCATTGTATTGCTATCTTAAATATGCACTATATAGCCTACACAAATCGAGTGTAAGTGAAAGAGACGCTTCTAGTTAATTGAAACTGAAAGTGTTATGTTAGCCTAGAGCAGTAATGTAATCATCAGCACAATTCAGAAGTTACACACATCTGAGGCTCCAGTGTGTTTGCTTTTTGAATTTGAATACTAAGTTCTTTTTCAAAGCATCGCGTTTGGGCGCTCGCACTCTTTTAAACTCGTACACTGCACACTGCTGATGAAAATATGTCAAGAAAAAAATAAGATATTAACAATGAAATAATGTCTGTAGATGATGATTCAGCTGATCCAACAACAGTACGCTGCATATCTTACATGATATTAATCAGCTACATCCACAACATAAACGTACCATTACAAATGATATCTGCACTGACAATGAAGTGAAAAATGTGCGTGGTAGGACATTCTAAACCGCATATAATACTTCAGTAAACTCATTATAGTAAAAGTTATCACAAGGACAGTCATACGTTGTATTTTGTTTATGTTGATGCATCTTTTCTTTGTTCAAGGCTTGATACATTTTTGTAATTTTCCACATCATTATGAATTGCAAACTATTGTAGTCAAATGTACAAATTTCTAAATATAAGATGCTCATGATGAAATGTCGACTACATTTTAGGGACACTTTACGAACTAAATAAAAAAATAAAAAATAAATGTAAACAAAACTTAAAAATGCTTGTTTACACAACATTATAAATTGGGATTAACAAGTGACACTTACATAAATTGCAATTCTTCAGGAATCCATATAAAGCGCATGTTAGATCCCCACTTTCAAGTGGAACTTGAGGCCACACCAAAAGGACTACTGTGAAAACACTCAATCTTACAAAACGTAAGACAGCTTAAAATGCTTAAAAGAGGCACTATAGCATGATAAATGTTACAGCTTCTACTCAATATGCCTGCGATGCAAATCTGGCAGGATCAGACACTCCTCCATATTTAACATTCATTTAAAAGATTACGAGCATTTGACAGCCTGATTAATCTTCAGTGTCACTGTTTATGTGGAGGATTGAGAGAGCCTGGACAGATCCTTCAGCACACTCCTGTTAGTACCTTAGGAGTTCTCCAAATGTTCTTGTTAGTTCAAATATGTTCAAAGAGCTCTTGGAACATTTCGAAGTTCTACATCTTGCTTTTGTTCTTAGGTGGATGTCATCAGGACATGCTCTTGCTAGATGGAGCGCAGCTGAATTGACCAAGGCATATTAAGGCCCTGACACACTTCAAGCAGACTGGAAGAACAAATTTCTGTGACGTCATTTCGAACACAATCTGGCCAAAAGTTTCCAGAAAAGGCTTGTAAACACCTTTAAATTACCACTGGTCTGTTGCAATTACGTAATAGGCACATCAGTTATCCATGAAATACTGGAAATACTGTTAGCTCTATTTTTGATAAACGTGTGTGAAGTCTCAGACTCATGAACCCACACTTCACAAGTAATGCTGCTACGGCACTGTCCAAAACTAAGCCCAAGACAAAATTCAGCCTTTCTCCAAATGAGGGGAAACTGGGAGACTGGGTCTGGATTTGGTGAGCTTTCCAAGGATTTCCGCTTTCAGGCTTTTGGTGTGGAGCTCAGTGTAAAAGTGGTTTTCTAAACTTGATATGATTTGCAATTGGTTTGAAAGCAGTTCATCCAAATAAGGCTTGCCGCGATAGACGGTGCTGACGGTGATACCGGTGTTAAGCCGGTGGGAAAATTTTCTCACCGTCACAACCCTAGTCCAAATGTGCGGAAATTAACTGATATTGATGATCTATAAATTGCATTTTTGCAAGCTCCTGGTCACACTTATAGCCAAATACATTTGTCTCCAAATAAATTGCCCTGAGCGAGTGGCTTGCATTCTTTGCATCTCTAGCAATGCAATGCAATGGAGATAAACACAAGTCTGCATTAAGTTTTGGTGTCTAAAATGAAGATGTGCCTTCTCCTCCTGAGACA